CCAGACTTCGAAAACCCCTAGATCGAGCAGCGCGAAAGCCACCGGGAAGATATCGCACCCTAACACTTCTTCAAACCAGGCTTCTTCGCCTCCACCTACTACAGCCCTATCTATCACCAGTTCCGATCCTATCAAGCAGAAAATGCCACCCCCTCCTCCCCACATAAACTCTGATATCGATACCATTCCTACCCCTGATCTATCCTCTCCCCCACTTTCAGCCAACTCATCCAGCGGGGGCATACGAGGGTGGCCATCCGACCAAATAACCCAGCGCAAGTACAAGGAGCCGTCGAAGACCCTCTCACCCGCAATTAGGTTAGAGGACAAGGATGACGCACCGTCTGCATCACGTACTCACATCTCGCCTCCCCTCACGCCACTCTGCGCGGAAAGTTCCGGCACACAGCCTCAGCCTCAACTTTCTGTGAAACCGCCATCTGCCCCGTTGGGGGGTGGCTATCACAGCGCCGCCGCTGCGCAGCCATCGACTATAAATCAGCTCCCTGTTTTCACATCTACCTCCGCTATCCCGTTTTCTACTGCTGCCGCTTCTAACGCGCCTCCTGTTCCACCCCAGGAGGAACAGCGAGAGTAAGGCCATGACGGTCTGTTCGCTCAATTAGAATCCGTATTTGCGAGGTTACCCTGCTGCAATTTTCCTTTTTGTCGACTTGCTTCTAGTCTATTTCTTCTTCTATCTATACCCGCTGTATTGGATGTATATTTAATCATATTCTCATCGTCTGCATTCATTTCCCCCTTAATGTTTGTTTATCCTTCATCGATTTAATAGTCAGCTGTACCATGTCAGATCTTTCCTTTATTTCCGATTTGTTTTCCTTTGTCTCTTTGTTCATTTGCTTTTTGCATTTAATACCCATTGAACTATTATTATTGCCATTTTCTCACTAATTTCTTCTCTTCGTTCTTGATCTTATCCCTGTTTTCCCTTCTGTTTCTATCTTTCCTTGCTGTCTATCTAGCTTCTGTAGTATTTTTATCTTCCATACACCCACCCACCTGGCCGTCATACTCCTGTTGGTTTCTTTTTCAAAATCTGCCTTCATTATCGTGACCACAATTATACCCCGCTGTATTCCAACAAGTGTTCTAGCGAGTAATATGCGCCTTCTTGAATTTTCTCTCTTTTCTCTCTTTATCTTTTTTATTTTATCTTTTTGTTTGTTTTTGTTATGAAGCTAAGTTAATTGCACCCATTCATTATTCAAATTCAACTTCAATGATGATAATAATCTCAAATTGTCCTAGCTCAGAACCTCTCTCGAGCCTGCATTTTTATTTCCTAAAAAAAATCATTTTCCAATCCGAATATATTGAAAGATGCCAAAACAGTGCATTCACTCTTCCTCTCGTCACGTTTTCCTCTTGCTTCACAGCTCCCGCTTCTGGTGCAAGTTCCCGAGTTGAAAATGTATGGTTTTTTCTTCCCTTCGTATCGTAAAATATCCCTCCCCTATCTTCCTTGTGGTTCTTTCCCTGAACCACAAAATTTCGGCAACTCCGATCTTTTCGTTCTTTTCTTCTGCCCGCATATGTGGAATGGTTCGGGCTCTTAACTACTAGTAAAAGCATGGTGGTGATCGAGCTCTGCCCCAATGTCCTGCAACCAGTATGATTGAATAGGACGGGGTGGATTGGGGTTGCTGCCGCCTCATGCGGTGAGCGGTTTCGGTTTATTTTTATTTGTATTTTTAAAAGGAAAAAAAAAAAAAAAAAAAAAAAAAAAAAAAAAAAAAAAAAAAAAAAAAAGAAATCCTCCTGCGGCAAAATGTCGAGGTAGTAAAACTCGCATAACGGGGGAGGGCTTTCACGCAAATCTTTACCGAGATGGATAGATAGACACCTTTGGTCATGTCGAGATAATGCGAAACAACTCACGCGCTTTGCTAGAGACTACACAGTCACTTCCCTTGCTAAGGCGGTGATTTTCAGACCTCGAGAGCGTCTCCCTTTGGGAGGTGCCTGAGGCTTTTTGACACCCTGCGGTCTGCTTTGAGGTGGAGCTGCCCTGACGTTCTTTTCCCTAGAAGACTGAGATCTTGACTCCTTCTTTCCGGTAGTCTCGCGAGTCGCCGTCCGGCTTGACTTTGGCGTTTCCTGTGCTGCTTGTTGCTGATCATCTCTTAATGCTAAGGCGGTTTTTTTCGCAGCTGGAACTAGCTTCCTTTTCCTAGATGACTGAGCTTTTGTGATTCCTTGGGGCTTACTGTGCAGGGAAGTAGGCTTGGAGCTCTTTTTCCTAGACAGAGTCCTTAAATCCCTTCTAGATTCAATCTTGGGCGCTGTCTCGCTTTGCCTTGCTGCTTCCTGTGCTGCTTGTTGTTGAGTTTTCCTCGATTCCATTTCAATAATTCGCTGACTCCGACGCAATGAACCAGTCTCAGCAATGGGCACAGAGCGTGCCATTCGTGATTCATTGGGTATCATATCTCGTCTCGTGGCTGGTTTTGCGAGTGTGCTGCTTTGACTTGGTGGCGCCAAAGAAGCCGTCCCTAAATGTGCATGGCTAAGATATTTAGCAGGAACTGCTGGGTTTGCTTTCCTTCGTGAAGAGACTCGCGGTGAACCGACTAGGGATTTCGTAGTACCACTGGCTGAGCGTTGACTCCTCCTCAAAGACTTCCCTGCACTTGGAGGTTCTATTTCGATATGCGACGACGGCAATGTTGCAGGTTCCTTGGTTTCGGCTTCTGCTTCTGCAGGACGGGGTGTCTTGTCTAAGCCGATAGCACATTCTTGCTCTATTTTGGGAAACTCCGATTCTATCCAGCGAAGCCAACCCAGATCTTTCTCCAGGTCAGATTCTTCTAGTGCTCTCACATAGTGGATCCAGCCCATATTCTCAGGTATCTGAGGATTGCGCTTACCAGCCTCCCAGTCTGCTATGTCTTTCTCTCGCTGTTTGCGCGCAGCCTCAGCCTTCTCCCTCCTGGGGAGTAAAAATTTGTGTTCGTGATAATGATACTCCTTCCACGTGTCTATTTTGGACTGTTGTTTCTCATCGAAATGCAACTGGATGCTGCCCTCAATCCCCTCCTTTTCCCGGTAGTCATGTACAGTCTGCTGGTATTTAGTAAAAACCTTCACTGACCTCCGTTTTCGCATCTGATGGGTTAGGAAAACAACCCATTGGTTTCGTTGGCCGCGATATCTCTGTCCCCAGTATTCAACCATATCCAGATGCTCTCCAAAGTCATTAGTTTGTGCTTGGGCTAATTCTAGTGGAAAGGCCGGCCGTCCACCCTGCTGTATTAGATAGTTATAGTCCTCCAGGTTCTCTGCGCGATGTTTCGCTCTAATAGCTTCCATCTCCGGGTCCGGACTCGGGGTATGGGTTAGGAAAGACGCGGTGGTCTTGCTTTCGGTCGAAGCAGAGCGGCGGCGAGCATCTGTACTGGATAGATTTCTGTTTTTTTGCCGACAATATTAAATTTTTAATCAGTAATCCGGATATCTGTACATCAAAAATCCAAATAGAAGCCTCACCTAAGTTTCTCCCCCAGTGCTGTCGCATCCAAGCGGTAATCCTGGCCTCTCGCGTCGACAAGCTCCCTTCCAAATCCAATGTCAGCATCCACATGGAAGGGGCAGGATATCGAACAGCAATGACAAATTCTTCCTTACTTCAATTTCTTTTTATGTTCTTCGGTCCATTCTTCCCCCTCCACTGGCTCAAGCCAACTTCTCAGCGTCGTCAGCATGCGATTTTATTGACAAAAACTTCCATGTTATGATTTGCTTGAATCAAAATAGGAGTATCCTACAGTACGCCCTCCAGGTCCTTTGCGGTCAACTTCTCGAGATCATGAATAGATAGCTTCATATTGAGCTGAATGGCCAATAACGACGCGGTCGATTCCGGTTTATTAATGGTGTGTTCTGTAGTAAGTGATGGTTAGAAAACTCGAGAGCAGGTAGAGACTCTTTATATGGGGGTGAATTTTAGATACAGACAGAGGGGAGCGCGCCAGATCAGCGACAAAACAAACAGAGCACCGCCATGCTACAACAGGAGGAGAGACGGCCATTGGATCACCGCGATGTGTCACTCACCGACGAACTACCCGGGCTGAAACCTACCAAAGAGCGAGATGTGACAAAAAGAGCTCTGTTGTAGTGTTGGAAGTGAACCAACCAACAAGCAAATCATCATCCCTTTGTATGACTGACTGCGGCGAGCTTCAATCACCAAGTGTGTATTGTATATTACATTAAATATATTGCAGTGCATGCTATAATTCAGTGTAATACATTACGGTATCGGTATCGGTATCGGTATAAGTATAGTATAGTATAGTATTGTATTGTACTCCGTAGAGAATAAACAAATACACCGAAGTCTATTTTAAGAACCAAGCTTAAAACCTTAATAATCCCGCTTTTCAAAATAGTTAATAAGCCATTTTGGCCTCCACGAACAATCGCATTTATTTACTCCTTGCCTTTGAGCCCTTGGGTCAGAACACACAGGATTGAGCAGACAAGGGTTACTATGCCTTTGATCCAGGCATTAGACGCCAGGCTTCTGCGAATTATGAGCTACCACGCCAGCCCGGGAGAAAGGGATCAAGGGTTTGCGGCGCACTCGTGATCGAGCGCTAGGACGGTAATCCAATAAAATAGGCCTCCGGAGAACACATCGACCACTTGGAACCGGAGGAACCACATTGCAGTATGAGGGGGACGATAACCACCTGCTGCGTGTTCCTCTGTTTGCCCAACACGATGCGTCACGCAGTGTTGCCTGTGGTTGTCGCAGCCCAAAACCCCCCTCCCCCGTTTTCCCCAGCCGTTGCACTGTGTTTGATGTCCAGCATTCATTCTGCAATATATATAAGCGGCGGTTCCTTTTTTTTTTCTTTCTCCTCTCTTCTATAGTGTTCGCCTGATTTCAAAAATTCTCGTCATATGGAGAGTCTTACCGGCATTGACCATAACATCATAGTTGTTATTAGTAAGATCCTTGCCACTAAAAAATGGACGATGATCCGAACCTCATCTTGGTCATCAGAGGGGCGCCGGGTGATGCAGCTGAAGGTCTCGAGCTACCCCACAATCGTACCCGCTATAGTGATCTACTAGATGGCTTCCACAAGCCTCCACCAGATCCGCGAAGCAGGAGCTCAAGCCCCAACTCAAACTCTGATGAAGGCGACCAAGGGAACAATAATAACGAGCCTCCGCGTGAGGGAAGCCTTCTATTAACCTTCGACAAGCCGCCTGCAAATGTCACCCGCGGATTCACCTTCGGGACCAGCAAGAGACGCTGTGATGTTTTGCTTGCAAAAACAAGCGTCCCCAATATAAGCGGGGTACATTTCGTTATTACATTGGAGAATACCGGCCATCTCGTGCTGAGGGACGTATCATCGAGGGAAACTGCCGTCAGCTATGACGGCTGGGGAGAGCAGTACCCACGGAGGCATTTCACGTGGATTCTAGATCTCAACGACAAGAGAATGAGCATTAGTGTCCATCTCCGTGGTTTCCGGTTGGACATCACCCTACCCAGTCATGCTTCCTGTCAAAGCCAGTACAAAGCGAACGTTGATGCCTACGTGAAAGCGAGTCAAGACTCTGTTCTCAGCCTCGGTGGACTGAATATGCCTAGCCAAGATCCAACTCGTCCACGTAGCCCAATTAATGATCCGATCTACTTTCCCGCCGAAACAATTGGACACGGGTCATTTGGAAAGGTTTACAAGGTTCTAGATGTGAGCACAGGCCGGGATTATGCTTCCAAGAGATTTCTTTTGCATTCTGCGGATATAGAACAAATGAAGAAAAAGCCGACAGAATCGCCTGCCTTCAAACAGCACCAGACCGAACTGGTAGAGTTCTTAAACGAAATGAAAATCATGAAATATCTTATGCATGTATGTCATCCTGTTCCATGCTACTGGCTTCAAGGTTAACTGTCGTATAGAAGCATGTCGTTGAGTTTGTGTGCTATCCCGCTGATCCGTTGCAGATTGTTATGGAATATATGCCCCTGGGAAGCCTTCGCTTTCAACACAGTGTTATCCCGATTAGTACAACAGAAATCCAACTCGTTCTTGCCCAAGGGCTCGACGCTCTTCGTTTCATGCATTCCAGAGACATCACGCATCGGGATATCAAGCCGGAAAATATCCTCGTCTATAGCAGAAACGGCCCCTTCATTATTAAATTAGCTGACTTTGGGCTTTCGAAATTTGGTAGTCTCAGAACGAATGTCGGGACGCTAGATTATAGGGCACCTGAATTCTTTCATTCCCAGCCCATAAACTATGACAGCAGAGTTGATATATGGGCTCTTGGGGTCGTCGCCCTTGAGTTCACCTATGGTGCCACTGAAGTTAACTCTGGCTATGACACTCAGCGTGTCGCTGACGCAGCCAAAAGCGCACTGCGTTCCCATTCGGACAGCCCATTCTATTTTATGTTGTCCAGAATGTTGGAGATTGACCCAAACAACCGGCCTACTGCGGAGGACTGCTTTGAGGGAGAGCCGACAATCGATTTTAGCATAAAACATAGTGGAGGGACCTCCGGCTTGATCACTCCAACAAATAATCGCAGTCTTTCTGCGCAGACAAGCAGGGTCTCAGCATCCGCGGACAGCCTAAGGCAAATACCAGCTGGCAGCATGCAAACACCGATGCCAAAGCGGCATCTATCATCTACCAGCTCGCGTGGCCACCGCACCAAACGCCAACGAGACTCGATCGACAATGCCTCACTGTCTTAGACTCGAAGCGATAGAACGGTAACAAACACTGCAATCGGTGCAGCAGCCCCACTTGACGTCGGAAACCGTAGGCATCTCGAATATAGCTACCAATATGCTGATGCTCCTGATGACGGTGACGGTGGAGGCTTTGATCGCAGGCGATGGGAGAGGACGATGGGAGAGGACCCAGTGGAACCCGCAGCGCGACCAGCAAATCGGGAAAACAAAGGGAATCCAGGCATGATCTCAGCGCAGGGGCCGATCAACAATTGTCGAGCCGATCACGGAACTCAATCACACAAAGTTTGACATCTTCGCATCAACCGCGAAGCACCAGGGCTGGCTCCGGTGCCAACTGAAGAGTCATAGATATTATATATAAGGTTAGTTAGAAGTACCTAGGTACGCCTTCTAGGCATCCGTTTTGAGATTGGATCATCAGTTCTTTATTAAGTCGCCACTAATTTACGCATAGGAATAACGAAACGAGTAGAACCCAGTGGGATAGTTTCATCGCGGGAACGCTGCTAGGAGTGGACAATTTCGGCCTTGAAACTTTTCGAGTAACATCCGATAACTAAATATTGCAAAGTAATAGATAAATAAAGAGCCGTCTTCAGTAAAATTCCTGATGAATACGAAGCGTGTGAATGCAATTTCATACGCTTTAAGTTTATTTGTTCTTCTTTGTTGCAATAAAGAAAAGAAACCTGGGTGAAAATAATTAATTAGAAAAGCTTTCTCTTATTATTATCTCTTAATTTTTCACTTCATTTTCTGTTTCATTTCTTTCATTTTCTACTTATATTTAGAACTTTACTATTTTTTTTATGATAGCTCTGTGATTGCTACTTCTTTATTGCAGCTTGCAATTGCCCGTTCTATAATTATAATAAGCTTATATTATTTATATATAAGAGAGTGTACACTCTCTATTTTAGAGAAATTAGACATGATTATATTCTCTTCACTACAGATATTCAGACACACATCTCAGAGAACTTGATTAATATTTATAGTAACATGAGTTTTAAATGTCACTCAGAACCCTCTCTGTATAGCCTCTAGATATACAGCTAGCAATCTACTGCGTAATCTGGTTCTAGGTTGAATTAAGCTACTTCCTCTTTGAAATAAACTTCCCCCCTGCCGCCGAGTCACAAAGCTAAATCACGTCATGTTATATAATCATCGCCAAGACCCCCGCCCTTGGCTAGAACATTCCGGTGCTTTCTCCGCTTGCTCCTCCGCTTTGGTAGATGCAGATGCCTTTCTGTTCTCCCGCTCCTATCATTCAACGCACATTTTGATGACGCACTGCTCTGCCGCCTGTTGTATGCAGCCACTTTAACCTAATAAGGGTCGGAGCATATCTGGTTAGTAATAGAGCCTTCCAGCCGACCATCTTTTTACTCATACCATACCTCCAAGCTTAACTATCCGTTTCCAAGGACGACATACTGCTTATAAGAGAGAACACCAACCTTATTTTCCCTCAACACTCATTATGGCTCCCATATCATTCTCTACAGGCACCCGGGCCCAGCAACAAGAGGATTCTTCGTTCACTCAAATGGACCCCGATCACGATCTTGAATCCATAGGCAGACACTGCCAGTTCGAATTCTGCAACCAGCTCGATTTCCTCCCCTTCCGCTGCGAGTCCTGCAAGGGCACATTCTGCCTCGACCACCGGACGGAAATGACACACAAATGCACACATGCAGGCGAATGGGCAGCTGCCCGGCGGAAAAACTCCGTCGGTGCTATAGGCACTGGAAACGGCAGCATGATGTCCTCTCTTCCGCCGGTTAAACCTACCGTTTACAACTCCACGCAGTGCTCACACCCATCCTGCAAAACTCTAATCCATACTTTGCAAAATACCGGCGTCCACTGCAACGAATGTAACCGCCAGTACTGTCTCAAACATCGCCTGTGCGAAGACCATGACTGTGCCAAGCTCATTCCGATCGGTGCGCGGCCTGCCAGGCAAGATCCGTCACCGGCTGAAAAGGCGCGGCTGGCATTCTCCCGCCTACGGACGTGGGGGAAAGATAAATCCTCCAACGTCGCCGCGAATCTGGCTCCCAAGCCGAAACCCAACAGCGCTGCGGCGCGCATGGCAAGGCTTACAGAGTTGAAAAAGAAGGCAAAGGGAGAACCCAACCTTGCGCTACAGAAGCGGTTTTACTTGCATGTTGAAGCGTCCGCGGATACCACAACGGCAAAGTATCCTACAGGTGATTTTTACTTTGATTCCTCTTGGAGTGTGGGCAAGGTTTTGGACGATGCGGCGCGCAGGTTACAGGTGCAGAACATCAATAATAGAGTTGCTGACGAGGCAGAGAGGCTGCGCGTCTTCCATGTCGAAGGGGGGAAGTTGTTAGAGTTCTCGGAGAAACTTGGTGCCTCTGCTGGTGTTGCGCAAGGGGATACCATTGTGCTACTCCGGGGCGTTGGCCCTCCACCCGAGCTTACTGTAGAACGGTGATAGTAGACAGATCGTAGTGGCTTTATTGTTTTTCTTTCTCTCACCTTAGACCGTGGATATGGTGCTATTTTTGCTTTTATCCTAGTTTCCGGGGTGCATTGTGTGTCCCAGTTTGATTATTACGATTACCCCATGTTGCGATAGCAGAAGGCGTTCATTTTGCATATATTACAGGCTTGTCATTGTCATTGGAAAGAGAGCATATTCTTAACATACTTGTTGTCTTCTAATCTCAAGAGCACTCAGAATATATGAATATTCATATACCCGTTAACCTGAACTCCAAGCAGCGGTTCTCTGCCGCTTCTTAGCAGTGCATCGATCCATTTACTGCCAAAATGATAACCAGATACCAGCTGTCTATTAAACTCGCAGAATACCGGAGTTCATTAAAAATTTCGCCATGTTCTCATAGCCCAGAAGCAGTTTCATAGCATCCCAAAAAAAACCCGCTACACGCTCATTTTCATCTTAATCCCCTTGTGCGGCTTATATCCCACAACCTCAAACTCCTCTTCCTTCCAACCATCCATAACCCCCGAGCCTCGGTCATCGCGTTTAATTATCAGTTCAGGAAATTCCACCGGCTCCCGCGTCAACTGCTCCTGTAACGCCTCGATATGATCCAAATACACATGCGCATCGCCCATGGTATGTATTAGCGTGCCGGGATGTAAATCCGCCGCATGCGCCAGCATATGCGTCAGTAATGCGTACGAGGCGATATTAAACGGCACCCCAAGTCCCATGTCGCATGAACGCTGGTAGAGCTGACAGGATAACGTTCCTTTCCTCTTCTCCCCCCTCCCATCATGACCATGATCCCCAGGAGGGAACGAGACATAAAACTGCGCAAACATGTGACAAGGTGGCAGCGCCATCTTCTTCAAATCCGCCGGGTTCCATGCGCTCAGGATAATCCGTCTATCGTACGGGTTGTCCTTTAGCTTCCGCACCACCTCTGCAATCTGATCCACGCCTTGCCCTGCGTAGTCAGTCTGGGCATCGATGTATTCCGCGCCAAAATGCCGCCATTGAAACCCGTACACGGGGCCTAGGTCGCCAACAGGACGATGGGATAGACCAACTGAGTCGAGATATTCACGGCTCCCGTTACCATCCCAAATCTTTATGCCAGCTTCGCTAAGAGGGAGGGAGGACGTGCATCCTGATATAAACCAGAGGAGTTCGGCGAGGACGGCACGGAGGAAGACGCGCTTGGTGGTTAGGAGAGGGAGGATGGGGGTGCGGGAAGAGGTGGAGGCCGAGTTGGAGGTGTTGGGTTTTGAAAGGGAGAAGCGGAGTTGCGGGGGCGCGAAGAGGGAGCGGGTACCCGTACCGGTGCGGTCAGGGCGGTATTCGCCTGCTTCGAGGATTGAGCGGATTAGGTTGAGGTACTGATGTTCCTCGTGGGAGGGATTGTGGAGGGGTGAGGGGACGGGTGACGATGTTGGCTCTGCTGGTGTTGGCGGGTTTAATGTGTCGTTAGGTTTTGGTGTTTCTGAGGGGGTGATGGGAACTGTTTGCGTGTCAGACCGAGCCATGATTAGCTATGTTGTGGCTACAGTTGCCCTTTATCTGGCATCGAGGTATATACCGGCTGTGGTATGTCAATCCTTTTGATATAACATTACAGCCGTTTGGTTGAATGAATCTCAATCCCGTCGCGTGCAAAGGGTTTTGGGGCTTGGATCAGTGGACGCGTCGCGAAAACCACGTGATGTCTTTTCTTTCTGAATTGTTTCTATTCACGCACCGCATTCAATGCGGTTAAAATTATACAGATAATTGCTAGTTAGGTAGTATTAGATCAAATCGCGGAGCTATGTACAGTACTAGTAAGGGAGTCTTCTAAAACGCCGTCCCAATGCACCCACCCATCATGATAGTGCTATTAACTCTGAATCCAAATGAACCAATTCTAATCAACCAGCAAATCTACGCCAACTCCTTGTAGAGCTGTAATCGCCCATTGGGGTATCTTCGAGTGGTCGCCGTACATATTTTTGAAAAATTCGCGAAGGAAGTCGGGGAATCTATCTTGAATAATCGACTCTCTAAGGGAACCCATCATTGCAAGCATGTAGTGAACATTGTGCATTGTAAGTCTGCAGGATATAGGTTAGTTCGCTTGACCCCAATAGCGTTCTTGCTAGCAGAAATGCCATTTGTTATGGAGCACTTACAAATGCGCCCCAACCGTTTCTTTGGCGGCGAGATGATGGATGTAGGCTCTCGTAATCTCAAGCCCCCCGTCTGCCTTGGATCGACAACACGCGCATTGACAGCCCTCTTCAATCGGCCGGAAGTCGTTCGCATATGACGCATTTCGGAGGTTCAAGGTGCCAAACGAAGTAACTGCATTTCCGAAACGCTGTTTCGCGGGTCAGTATTTTTTTTTCTTTCTTTTGGCCAGAGAGTCGTTCTGGTGAGGTTGGGTAGAAACTAACAGCTGTTCTCGTCGGCCACACGCAGTCAAACATATCCGCTCCGAGGGCAACGGCAACAACGAGATCTTCTGGATATCCCTGCAAAACTGTCAGTTTCTCATTCACTCATTCATGAGACCGAAAGTGACATACTACACCCATGACATATCGTGGCTTTTTCTCGGGTAGTAGGCCAGTACAAGTATTTACTCTAGCAAATTATAAAGATTAGCAGGCATTCCCAATATCCCAGATAGATAGCCTCCCTAGGCGCAGGACTCACACTTTGCAAAATTCATCCTTCGCCTCGCCACCAGAAAGCCCGCCAATAGCAATCCCTGGAGTATCTCTCTCAACCATTTGCTTGCAACATTCCTTTCGCAGCTCCAGATCCAATCCGCCCTGGATAATGCAGAATAGATTTTGTCTCTCAGGATATTTATGTGCATGAATACATCGATCGAGCCAGCGCACGGACCGCTCCATTGCCTCTTTTATTCTCGCGTGATCGGGGGATGTGGTGGCTATCACATCATCGAGCTGCATAATTATGTCTGAACCGATAGAATTTTGCAGCGAAATTGAGTGTTCTGGAGTAAGAAGCCTACAGGACATGCATTAGTTCATTGGTGCCGCATTAAGTTTAATAATAAATGATTATAACGCCAAATAAAGGAGATAAAAGTTTCATGTGGATGGTAACTTACATAGGGGTACCATCGTGCGGACTCAAAAACCGTACTCCGTCCTCTGTAACCTGCGCCAGCTTCAGCAGCGAAACCATCTGAAACCTATCACTCACGAATGAACACATAATGTTAGCCACAATATCCAGCATCTTATGATCTCCTTCTCCCCTAATCTTCCATCCTGCCCTCCTCTCCTTCGCCCCCATTTACTTCTCAGTTTCTTCACGCTTAGCTTTCCCCCACACGAAGCACTTGAACCTCTTCAAAGCCACCCATCTCGACCAATCTCATGAAAAGAAAATATCCAAAACTCACCCGCCACTATCTGTTAAAATATTCCCATTCCACCCTTGGAACGCATGCGCTCCCCCGACTTCATCTAGCACGGTCTGTCCAGGTTTCAAACCCAAATGGTAGGTATTATTTAGACATAGCTTGCATCCGGTCTGAGCGAGCTGATCCGGTGTCAAACCCTTCAACGAAGCTTGCGTAGCCACGGGCATGAATATTGGGAGCTGAACAGGGCCATGGGGGAGGTGGAGGGTGCTAGCGCGGGCTTTTGTGGTCTGAACAAACGACGAAAGCGCAGGGGTTAGTTAAGTTGCTTGTATTTTTTTGAGCTTCTGGGGTGGGACGAGACGTACGGAACATTTCGCTGCGAGATTAAAGGTTAGCGCTGAAGGCATCGGCTTTTTTGCCCCTGGTATTATTGTCGTGGCCGACATTGCGGCAGCGCTGTGGGTTACTGATGCGATGCGCGGGCCTGAGTGAGTGGTTCCTAGAGATCGATTGCGGAAGAAGGGAGTCGGTTGTAGGCAACGGATATAAGTACGTAAACGGCTCACGGGGCCATTGACTAGCGACATGGAATTTATTGAAGACAAAGTGACTTTTGAAAGATAGCAAAAAGCTGTTTTCCAGTTTTCAACATGTTTCCATATTTACTTCCGCCCAACTAGTTCCTGTGATGTCAAAAGAAGGGTGACTAAGCCAAGTAACTAACTAGTTAACTAACTATAGATCATGTACTCCGTACTCCGTAGTTACAACAAGATACATACCCTATCAACATCTCCTCTTGCCCCAGTGGCCGAATGAGGTGTTGAACTACATCTGGGCTACTGGGCTAGAGCACTTCGACTTGGACTTCCCATTGTTCCCAATAGGCTCCACTCAGGTTTGGCAAGCTCGGCGCTGCTCGTCTCCAGCAACAGGAATACAGAGTGAGTGTATATTTGTTAATAATCGGGAGAAGCGGTTGGCTAACAACGCTCCTACATGGCCAGGGTCTTAATACTGATTTCTTGACCCCATGTCCGAGGGTCTTATCTCTCGATCCTCTGCTGTGTCGCCGGCTAGGGCGAGGCGATGCCGGCGAAGGAGTTCTCCGCTTTCCACACCGCGGACGGAGCTGCGATGCAGGTGGTGAAAGAATCAGGGGCCTCGATTGGAGCCTCAAACCCGCATATACCCCATTTTATGGGGAAGAACATGGCACTATCGCAACAGCGGCTACGACATCCTCATTTTTTCTCCACATCTTTCGAGGTCGTCAACAAAAGTGCGACGGCGGCTGAAATTCGGGATTTCTGCCGTCAGCTGAAAACTCCACGCTCCCCGGGAGATCTTCGCAACCTGTGATCCTGGATCGCATCCAAAATCCCTTTCACCCTCTCAGCAAAACGCGACAATCGCTTTCCATTCAAACTCAACCGTTAGGGACGCGCATACGAACGAGCTTCCGACAAACATGACCTACGGTGGGAGAGGATTTTCTGCCAAGAGACCCTGTTGAGATGATCGAAAAGTCAATTGAAGACGTCAAATAGGCAGTTCCTGTATGCCGGGTTTTGTCTCCTCCAACATTCTGAATTACCCCAAAACTAATGCAGGAATAGGAGAAAGTATCAAATCAGCATGCCGTGGATACGTATTTGGAGGAAGGCAGCATCAGTGACAGAACGCTTGTCTGGAAGCAGGACCTGAGAATTGTGCCGCTTTCGGCTGCCATCTACCTTCTATGTTACTTGGATAGTTCGAATACGAATATAGGTGAATCCCTGCCCTCGGACAATTGGAATAACTATATGAAAAATATGTTGAGATTAACACTCCCACTAGGAAATGCAAAAGTATTGAATTCGTCAACAGGGAACGACCTCCTGACTGAAACCAATATGTCGAATTATGAATACACATGAGGACCACAAATTGGTGCATTCCTCTATATATACCTTGAGCATTCTGCCCTTACGGAAAAATAGGATTGCCCTGATGATTTCCCTCATTGCATATGTCCTCTTCGAAGTACCATCGAACTATTTTTTCAAGACGTTAAACCTAGTGTGAGGCGACAACCACTTCCCCATCCCTCTCGTCCAGTTTTCCACTAACTTAAAGACCACGTTTCGGCTGCGTAGAGATGGATTACTTTAATAACTACGCCACTGTCACAGTGCTGCGTCTGCTTCTAGGCATCTTCGAAGCCGGCCTGTTCCCAAGCTTGTGTTTTATCTCACTTTCTGGTATAGAACTTCCGAACGGTCGATGCGAGTTGCTATGATTCTAGCTTTTGCTACCCTTGGGGTGCTTTTGGTAGTGCCATCGCCTTCGCTGTTGGACATATGAATGGAACTCGGGGCTTATCCGGCTGGCGATGGCTCTTCATCCTCGAAGGCATCCCTTCATGCGCATCTGCGATTTTGGTGTACTTCTTCCTTCCTGACTACCCAGAAACCAGCCTCTTGGCTCTCACCGGCAGAGAAGGAGCTTGCGAAGGAGAGGCTAAGAGTGGAGGGCTCTAAATGTGAAAGCGCATCGATGACATGGAAGGACACCAAGGAGAGCGGAGAGGAAAGGAAAATGTTTGCATACTGAGTCTGTCATGTATATGGATAGGGTTAGTAGGTTTCCACTAGGTGTGGACTATTGGTCTAAAGCTCCAAGATACGGACTTAGACGGCCGTGTTTGTACTGTTTATGATAATAGAATTGACGTGGTACGGAGAACATACATGAGACATATTACGGCACAATCCACCATTTAACGTCCGCTATCAACAAGTGGCTCACCAACAATCAGCGAATCCACACTATCTCAAGACGGTATAGCATCGTACGTAGGGAACTATAAGAGGAACGCTCAAATAGAAAAGTCAAAATTCACAACTTTGAAATCCTCTCAACACACTCAGGGGATACCGTGACAGCATAAATAACCAGTTCCTGTCTCCTCTGATCTTCTTCTGTCTCTCACGACGGCTTGAGCTCTTCGCCCAGCCACGTTGCAACTACTCCAGCCGTCCCCCTAGGTTCAAGAAACGGCAGAGCGTGCGCCTCCGCCGCCACAAACACCTCTTTAACCTGGCCTGTCCCTTCGCCTCCGGCCCCACCAAGACCCGTGCCTGTCTTGCCAACAACCCGGCTTCGATAGGACTCTGTGCTTAGCATACTTTTGTCCTCTGCTGTCCACACATACAATGTTTTACAATGAATCCCCGGCAGGTATTCCTTTATCTTCGCCGGCTCACCCCTATAGAAGCCCGGTGCGATAAGACTCTCCTGGGCCCTCGTCGCATAGTCTTCCCTGACGGGATAACCTTTCATTGGCGGCGCAGCGCGCATGAACAGCTGCGCCTGCTGATATCTAGGTGTCGCAAGCTTCACGCTTCCATCGGGCATATCGCGGAATTCATACCGCAGCGTCTGAGCTAGCACGCGCGGGTCGAACTGCGAATAGTATTTGGACCTGCGCATGTGCCTCTCCGCTGCTTCGCGGCTCTCCCACCGGTCGCGCATCAGAGCTACGGAGAACCCTATGTTCGTACTCCGCACCAGCCCTTGCTCGGGAACACCTAGCGCTTTCAGCTCTTCAAGTGATATCCCGTCTCCAGCACGTGTTCCATGAGCACGATGCCGTGGAAAATGCGCGGGTGCCAAGCTGCGGGAAGCAGGAGGTGCTCGCAGCCCCAGCTTTGTCCTATGCCAATCAGCGGCAGTGTCATTGAAGTTTGGAAATAGTTGATGAGCTACATGATGTCGTGCGCCCTGTCAAACCAGTGATGTTCATCGCCTATCTCGTCCTCGTTGACCTGGAAGGATTGCCCATGGTTGGCGATGTCGGGAGCCCAGATTGCGTGGATTGGCGGCGTGAGTGGGTTTGAGAGGACGTCGGCGAAGAAGGGTTCGTAGGATTCTTTGGTTGAGCCCATGCCGTGGACGAAGATTAATGTTGCGCCGGGGCTGTCTGGTTTTACATATTCGTTTTTGCGCGCAACGTCTGTGAAGGCAATACTTGTTGATATGCAGCTTCAGGCGGGACTTATGCGGGTCGCGGGTGCCCCGGTGGAACGAGCGAGGATATGCAACCAGGATTATATGAGTTTTCACGTCCCAGTGTGAAGGCATTTTCTTTTCTCCTAGCCGCTCCGCTTTGCTTTCTTTGTAGGCTCACTGAGAAACCGTATTTTTCAGCTTGGGCTAGACACATTTCAATTAACAGGTCATGACATGCCCGTGAGAGTTCGGCAAATGGCACCCCGACCTCCAAACTCCATAAGAAGAGTGGTTAAATGTATGACTAAAATCCTTGGTCAATGCTGATCGGGCATATTTGCCTGGCTGTTGGTGTTGAAACTAATTCAAAGCTGTTGAGATTGAACAGAATTTTCCAACTCCCCCTTGGAATAACTAGCAAAACACTGTCAAAATATCCACCTTTCTCAATGATCTTTCAAATATTATTCTATTATTATTCAAATATATGTCTTATATCTTTATTCATTATTCATCAAACTCATATATATTATATCTTTTTTTATTTTTATTTTTATTTTTCTTATACCAGTTTTACAGTCTCGCAGATATATAAGACGATCTACTCTGTCTCCATCTTCTCAAACTATCTATTATTATTATTCTTCCATTTATAGATGTATACAATCAGTGACTTTGATATCTGTCTAATAAAATCAGAATTCTTCTACTTACAAGATTAATAATATATATATACTGATGGAGGTGATATATAGAGTACACCTCGCTTAGGCGGAAGCGGTCGGCCCGTAGAGAGGGGAATCCAACATATACACAGTATTTATATAATATAAATTTCATTTCAGAATTAAATAGTCATTTAAACAATTGTATGAAATCTCACTTCTTGCTGATCTCTTTAATCACACAATCTATAAGTTATAGATAGAAGTCGCAATCATCTTTTTCCACTCAGCTTGAATATTATTATTATATTAATCTCTATCTTTGTCATTTATAAATATTTCTAGTTACTAGTACATTTATATCAAGCTGTAAACATTTAGAATTTTATATTTCAAGATCTGTCAAGTCAGCAATTATCTGTTATAGCTATAATAATCAACTCTCAAGTATTCTCTGTGAAAGAGATCTTAGAAAACTCAGTATCTATCTACAGTATTTCATTTTCAAAGATAGAAACAGAATAAATTTCTAAATCTTGTGAATAAATTGATTTCAATGAAGGATAATTTTGAATCATGGATAGCGTCGGTGGATCGGATAGCTCTTCATACACATTTTGCGGGCGATATTTTGCACAAGGATGACTACGGGATAGATTTTGATAAGGCAATATCGTAGGATGTTTCAGAAGGAATAAAACTTGTTGGTTCTCTAAGAGTGGTGGGTTGGTTGCGCATCATCCGCACCAACATTCAGAGGATACTACATAGGTGAGGTCTTCTAAAGCTTATGGCTCCAAACCACCCCTAAAATCACCACAAGAATATAGATGAAGCGAAACACAGGACGGATAGCAGCTGCTATCCAACTAGGAACCGCGGATATAATGCTTTGCGGTGTACGCCTCCTCACATCTGTTGCTGGGCAGAAGGTATATTTTGGATTCTGCTCTACCCCACTAGCTCCCCGGGGACAAAGGGAAGGAGGTGACATATGGCACTCATTTGGCTTTGCATCTGCCACTGCTACGTTTGAGACCATTTTCGAGGCCTTTCACGTACGTGTAAACTTAGCAAGCTCGCTGGCAAGCCCTCCCAATCTGCCAACTAATTAGCCTTTCATCAACGAGATCAACTCGATTGAATGTGTGATTAGTATCTCATATCAAGGGAAAAATGAATTGAATAGATATATTCATACCCACGAAGAGGGAATTTGTGACACAGATGGGAGGCAAAGTGCATGTATCAACAGCTCTCAAAGGCAGGTTGTGGGCGACTGATGATAAATGCTCCTTGATTTCCCGAGCTAGGGGTACACCCAAGAGGATATTTAGATTATATTCAAAGGAAAGATCGCCATCGAGTGACATATCAGGAATACCGTGGATATTTAGAGACTAAGTATCGTAACTATCCGTTTGCCGGCCCTGTTGTATAGTCCATGTAGAGGTATATGAAACGAAATGAAGTCGGATGTGTCTCAGCTACCACTTGGGCCCTATTTTCAGACTGGAAGGCTGATAAGGAGAGGTTCCTTGAGAAGAAAAAGCGTCCCTCCCATATGTACATCCTGGTCATTGCTCTGGTGGCTACATAGTGGGGTTTGGTAGATGCAAGAATCAAGATAGTATCCGTTAGTTGACATATACGGCATTTTACCGAGTGATATATCTGAGGGACATTTCGGTGTTGTTTGGGATAATGTGATGCCGCTTACTATTTCCAATATAGTGAGTCGGGTTTCTTTCCACTTAACTTCGGTTCCGATGATTGCGGTGGGGGGGATGGCCTTCCGGGTTGCTGCAGGCTGGCTGGTTGGAATATGTGCTAACGAATTGAAGATCTAGTCGAGGGCATAGAACTCGTTTTGCGTACACCCGTAAGATACCTGGCTTGCAAGAGAGTCAAAGGATATTTTAGAGAGGAGACAAGAATGGCGGAGGGATCACTTTCTATACCATTAGTTAGCTGTCATACTCTGGTGGACTTCAAAATTTTCTCTCCGATTTATTGTGTATACGCTGTTTGGTCGATGGAGGTGGCATTCAGCGATCCGATGTAATAGCATTTTCAACGGATAGCTGGTGACCAGCAGCGTAGAATACCACCAGATGCGAATTCCAGCCAAACTCCTAGACAGAATGAGAAGTGACAGAGGGCACCTGGGCTCAGTCGTCGTCCAGTCATGGTGAAATGTGACGTATTAACGGCCCCGAGGGTGTCTAGAGAAGTGTTTGCCTGGCACAAATATGAACACACGAATAGCAATAACGGCAATGTCAGGCCAGTCATACCTGCATATCACATTTTAGACACCTTGTAGAGATGGCAGTGAATGTGATGGCGATGGTGATGGGCGCCGGAACCTCATATCTGTTTGGCAGAATCGAAACCTTCACCCCTCTTTTTACAGAGCCAGAGTTGGGAATCCGTATGGCTGCGGTAAATAAGGCATAATTTGGCGGATTTTCTAAGCCACCGTATTCTAAGATAGAGCCACGGAGGGTATGTTAAGAAGGATAGACATTATGAAAGTGCCTGATGATTACCCGCGGTTGAAAAGAATCCCGCAGGTATGGTATCGTTTGAATGAACATCAACTTGTAAACCTGCTAGCGCTAGCCCTAAGAGGACTGATGAATTGAAAAGGAGGACTAAATTCCTCCACGCATTATCCATCGAAAATATGACAGGCATGGAGAGGCAATAGCTCCCAACATTGGGTTTCTAGAGTCCATGTCGGCTTCTGTGGCGATACCCCTTTTAATCTCGCGTCAGAAGAATGTAAATTCCTTTTAACAAGTCACCCCCCAGTCGGTCAAATTTGAGGATCGGCTTAGATACTGATTAAACCTATATGCATTGAGATCTGCTTAATTCAAGCTGCTGCCTATTCAACGTTAACCTCGTAGCATTTCGTGCCGACGTTTTTGGGACAAATTTGTTTCTGCCACCGTGGATAATCTGGCGACTAGGGCGATGATATTTTCAACGTAGGATATTAGCAAGGTTGATATCGCTGTTTCGAACCGATTTCTGTCGAATCAAGGTAACCTGTTTCCCATGTTCTTGCAATGTATATTTCATGTCTCAAAAGAAGGTTGGTTGAGTGTGTGTACTTGAACAGGGAATGGGGTATTGTAGAAGAATTTACTGGCTGACAGAAAAGAAAAAAGGGTGAAGGATTTCAGAATGAGGGTACATTTGGGAGTAGATTGGACAGAGTTCAACTGCAAAGCTTCACCGTCCGTGAATAGAGGGAGAACAATCAATTGGTCTCTACTGCATAAAGACAAGGTTGCCAGGATGCGTGTTGTTGCGCGAAACGACAATCGTTACTGCGTAGTTCGTGAAACATGTATCGTTATCAGTGGCAAGAGCGACGCTAGAGCTGGGAACTCTCTTGGTGAATTGTCCGAATATGGGCGTTTTTAATCGCCAGATTACCAGCGCTTGCTGCAATATCGAGGACTACCGCTGACATCCGTTGGAGTCCATCAACGTTAAAACGGATCGTGCATCGATTTCCTCGGGGTAGTTCTTCTATGAACTTCTAATTTTCAAGGAGGTTTTGTTGGAATGCACTGTACGTGCAGTGTACTGTATATCACGAGCATTGCCGGAGGTGGCTTTACCATCTTTAGAGCCCCAAAATGAATAGAGAGGATTCATTGCCGTCGAAGAAAAAGGCGGAGAGCCGGGCAATTGAGGATGTGTTTCCTCATCAGTATTGTATCATTTATGAGGGTATCGTGAGGTCGTTACAAAATCGCGCATGCTCATATAACTACCTGTCAGCGGGAGCGCCCGCCTGGGCACCACCATGGATGGCAATGCTTCAAACCCCTGGATGGCCACAGCGCCCACGACAATTATTAGCGCTGTCATCATCGTGATGAACTGGCCAATTTCTTGCGGGGAAGCAGGATCCTTGGGTGGCGCGCATTTAGTCTAAGACGGGGGCGTGCTGATCTTTGGCAGGCTGGGCCATTGTGTTGATGAGCCTTGGAGAAAGTAGTAGTACGTCCTTCTTTACTATCGGTGGCAAACCCCTGGAAATTTGCACGATATCCCGAGCGGTTTCGAAATTTTTCAGAAATCATAATTACCAATGGATGAGGTAGATAGATATAACGGGGGTCAAGGTGACGAAAGAAACAGGAATATTTTTGCGAGACTGAGCGTGGTGGAGAAATGGCACATTCTTGTCCAATTATCCGGTCTGTCATCGGGCATGAAACCCTGGACTGTACTCGCTCCATCCTCACTGTTCAGTGCTTCAAGGCTGTTTAACTCCAGGATCGCCAGGAACACCGAGGCTCACGTGCAAAATATCGGCTGCGATCCGTATTATTCTCGACGGTTGAGAATAATAACGCTGACAAGCGAGGGCCGAAATGACGGCTGTGGGCCGAAATGAGATGATATCGTATCGGTTGGGAATCTGAGACAGCTAGAGACCGAACACTGAATAATTAATTAGGGTTAGTTTGGACAACCAGCAGATATTCTCCCGTATCGTATCTGGTAGTTGCCTCATCAACTCTCCGAACGCTCACGCAAAACGATGATAAATATTCTAATGATGATGATACTAATAATAAGAAGAATAATATTAAGCTTACATTCATATAGATTTGAAGTTCGAGGAACCAATCATGCTGCGGCGGCCATCGCGAATGTTGCACCCTCGCGTAACGGCACTTCTTCCTGTAATCTGGATTCTGGGTCACTTGTTGAATGCCACTTCGTCTGTATATTGCACCTGCCAGACCGAGCTAGCCCTAATTTCTGGAGGAGAACCTGTGTCCCCAAGTCCAAACTGAGAAAAACTACCACCAACCACGTACGAACCCCCAAAGTAGCGTCCGTTCAGGAGTCACCGGCCTTGTCTACCTGAAGGGGCAACCCGCAATCTCACCAAGCGCTTTTTCGTGATCCTGGAACTTTCAGGTGTTGAACCCGTGATATCGCCGAGGTATACGATGATTGATCCATCTGATCCTGCTTGTGGCATCTAATTACGGATGGGGCACCCGCAGTGGCGAGCGGGAATAGAGGCCTTTCCTTGCGGGTACATATATAGAGCGAGCCAGCGGCATTTCCCCCTGTTTTTCTCTTCCTGCTCTGTCTATCATTCCCCAAGAAGTACCTCTGAAATTTGCTAGAAAGACTCGCAAATTTTGTCCTCTCGTTACGTACATTCTTTTACTGCCGTTATACTCCACTTCTTTCAAACAAAATGAAGGTGTCCACCGCCCTCTTCACCCTGGGCCTTGCCCTTGGTGTTGTATCCGAACCGATCCGCGTCCAGCGTGACCTCGACGCATTCAAGGCCATTTTCACCGAGATCGATGGCAAGGTCGACAGCCTCTCCTCCGCCATCAATGGAGGAGATCAAGACAACATCATCAGTGCTGGTGAGGACTTGGTCGCTACCATCAACAAGGGCGTCGAGACCGCCAATGCTCAGGATCCTCTGTCCCTAACCGAAGCTCTCGGCCTCACCACCCCAGTCCAGGCCCTCACCAAGAAGGTTGAGGGTGCGATCAGCCAGGTCATTGATGCGAAGGAGGATTTCGTTGCCGCAGGCTTCGCTTTCACAATCAAGCAGAACCTTGATGATCAATTCGCCGCATCCAATGATCTCACTGAGGCCGTGAGCTCCAAGGTCCCCGACGGTGTCAAGGAAATTGCCAAGCAACTCGCCGCCGGTATTTCCAACGCCATCCAGAAGGGTATTGATGCCTACAAGGATGTCACCGATGACGGTGGCAGCACCCCAACCGACGAACCCACTGGTACTGCTGAGCCCACTGGTGAGCCAACTGACGAACCCACTGGAGAGCCCACTGGTGAACCCACCGCCGAACCCACTGGTGAGCCCACTGGCGAGCCAACCGGCGGATATCCCACCCCTCCCCCAGCCTCCACCCCCAGCGGTGGTGTCCCAACCTCGGGCCCCACTCCTCCTCCTGAGTGGGAGGGCGCTGCCGCTATCAACGGACAGAGCATCGCCGGTGTCATCGCTGCCGCTGCCGTTGTCCTCGCCTTTTAAATTACCTGTCCAGTTTTATTGGGTAGGAATTTAATGGAACGTGGTGCGTGTATATAGGTTAAGATGGAACAAAGGGTGATCGGACGGTCCAGGCCAGGTGCCTGTATTACTTACTTGTCTATATTAATTGTAATTGCATGGCATTATTGGTCTGATTGTTTCATCCGAAGTAACCGTATCAAGGAATGTATGTAATGTGAACTTGCTCGGGAGAACCGTGTATATAGTAATAGTAATAATAATAATGAATAATCGTATGCATTATTCGTTTTCCTCATCCTTTTTCGTGAATAGAGGTAGTCTGACCGTATTCTCGGGGGTAGTAAGATTTCACTTATGCCTTGTAGCAACAGAGGCAACAAACCTGGAAAAGGCCATAGGTTTTCCGGGAGAACAAAGGGAATGGGGGAATCTAATTGCTCTCCTATTCCCAATCAATTGCCCATCCAATTCTTTGCTGGTAAAGAGGTCGCAAATGTTGAGTTGACAGTTGTTCCGGTCGGTACGCAGCCTCTCGGATACTTGGGGTGCATTGACGGCGCTTGATTAGACCGTGCCGTCAGATTACTCATGGGCTTCGTTTAGGTAGATTGCATACGTGTAGATTGTGCTGTTGAAGCCGGTATTTATCGTAGTGAATCGAACGCAGCGTAAGTAAGCCCGCCGACGAAGGACCCCACCTTGCAATCGCTGAGCACGGGAGAAGAATAAACGTCATATAGAAACACCATTTGAACTGGGAACCGACATTTCTGTAGAATTTCAATTCGCCGAGAGACAGTGTTCATGCCGGCTTTTTAAGTTGTGGAAAATCGGCATAACTATGAAATAATTTCATTTCATTACTTAACCCTGTGATGAGCAACATTCAATTGGTCGATCATGCAGTTGTGACTTTTTTTTTTTTTTTTTTTTTTTTTTTTTTTTTTTTTTTTTTTGCCCCCTCTAGTTAGAGCAACGCATATATTCCCTTTTAAAATCGCATTGCGGATCAACGATCCAACTCAATTAGCTTGATAGCCAAATCGCGATTGTAGCACACGACCCTGATTTCGTTGCTCTACCGATTAAAGAAGAGATTGCTTCTATCAATCCTTTGCACCCAGGGTGTCTATTTTTGGGCGGGGTAAGTGATCCTGTCTGACCGTTCCGTTTCCATGCAGTTAACACGAGAGAACTTCGTGCGGGAGAAGGTTGCACTGCTACCCACCGGCGAGGAAAGCAGAGATCATTTTTGCTGATGCGGATAATTCGGGTAAAACGACCTGAACTCCATCTTGAGAGTTGGCAATAGGGCCATTCGGAATTGCTTAAACTTGAGAATTTCAGGAGATCATCCGGTACTTTTCCTTGAAGTTGCGAAGGTAACTAAACATTAACGCATTTTGTCATGTGATATTAAATCCAAATGAGCAAGTTTAGACGATTAGTTACCACGTGATAAATGCGGTCGGGAAAAGTTTCCCCAAAGACAGCCCAATAAAATTGCGGCAGAAAAAAAAAAACGGAAATATTCTAGGGAGCTTGGGACGTCAAAAGTCCGCTTCACCGATTTATAAACACATAAACAGCACGAAAGACACAGGATGAAATGGCTCTGTAGTGGATGATTTGGGAGGTATAGTTAACAACTTTTATTTATGCCCCAAAGATCAATCAAAATCGTTTCCATGCTAATTCCGTTCTCAAAAGTCCATTTTCCCCGCTGTTCTCAACAACCCACTCGTTTAGCAGCCATGGACATCCACAGATGTCGATTTGTAGCATACAACCCGCAGGCAATTAACGCCCTCGCATTCTCTCATCCGCCATCTGCAGAAGCCTCCGGTAGAGGCGTACCTACCCTTCGACTTGCCATTGGACGAGCCAACGGCGACGTCGAAATATGGAACCCCTTACGCGGAGCTTGGCTACAAGAATCGATTTTACGGGGAGGTAAGGACCGCACCATTGAAGGCCTTGCATGGACTCAGGACCCTAGTGAAGATGAGGTGGATAGCAGTGGATTCAAAGTCCCCGGGAAGCTGCGATTATTCAGCATTGGTTCTTCGAGCGTCGTGACAGAATGGAACCTAGAGGAAGGCCGACCTGCCAGACATTCGAGCGGTAGCTTTGGCGAGATCTGGTGTTTGGCTGCGCAACCCCGGTGGAAACCGACGAAGAAGGATAAGGATGGAAAATTCTTACCGCCTGCTGAGGGGGAGTATACCGGGCAGCACTTGGCGGTGGGTTGTGCAGATGGGTCGATAGTTATTTTGTCCACAGAGAACGGGGATCTGAGATATCTGCGTACTATGAGACCTTCAACCAAAAAGGCTCGAGTCCTTAGTCTTACGTTCCAGGATCGCAATACTGCTGTAGCTGGATATGCGGATAGCACCATTCGAATATTCGATATCCGCAGTGGGAAGATTTTGCGAACAGTTTCCATGGGTAAGGGTCCTGTGAAGGGCTCTAAAGACCTTTTGGTATGGTCCGTGAAATGCTTGCCGGACGGAACTATCATCTCTGGCGACTCTTCTGGTGAAATACGGTTTTGGGACGTGAGGAATTATTCCCTAATCCAACGCATACAAGGTCACCAGGCAGATGTGTTGGATATTGCCGTTAGTGCTGATGGAGAATCTGTCATCAGCGGCGGCGCGGACCAAAGGACGACCATTTACAAACTAGAGAGCGGCAGGAAAAGTGATAAATCAAGAAGATGGAAAGAAGTGACACATCGTCGATATCATACGCATGATGTCAAAGCTTTCGCTGTTTATGAGACTAAGGATATAAGCATCGTGGTATCTGGAGGTAAAAAATGCTCAGGTGTTAAAACATATACTTTTCAATTCGTCTCTAACATTTTGAATTATAGGATTGGACACAATACCCGTCGTCCTTCCGTTGCGCGAATATGGAGCGGAGCATCATCGGAAACTATCGAATCTTCCCCAAGTTCCTCAAGTCACCTCATCACCTTCATCCCGTCTCCTTATGAGCTGGTGGGACCGCGAAGTATGTTTGTGGTATATTTCCAAGCGCTCGGGGCCTGGTGAACAACTGCTAGACGGGACTAGCCATAAGCTCGTAGGCAAAGTGTTGGTCCAGGGCGATGAAAGCCTTACATCTGCCGCCTTGTCATCAGATGGGAAGCTTCTCATTGCAGCAACTGTGGCGGAAGTGAAGATTTTCAGCCTAAAATGGCGAAAGGGAGACAGCAAACCAGCCCTGCGCGTCCAAAAGATCGATCTTCCTCCTGCAGTGGCTAGGCACGGAGCCAAATCTGCTACTTTCTCACCTGATAGCCAATGGATTTGTCTTGTCCGCCCCAATAACGATATTAGTCTTGCTAGGATTGTATCAGACTCCGATCCCAAGGAGAATCCGCGCGTGCTATCTGAGCTGATCGATTTGGATCGTATTCCTAGACAAATTCGACACAAAGAAATCTATGGTACGCTTGGTCAGTATGAACGGAGCGTTCGCTGTGTTGTATTTTCCGAAGATAGTAGGATGCTTGCCTGTGGGGACCTCGGAGGATTTATTGACACGTGGATTTTGGAGGATGTTCAAGAATTCGAGAAAACCGGCAAAGGGGTAAAGGTGAACGGAATTGCCTCGTCGGATGATGAATCCTCAGATGACGATGATGCTCCTGTTGTGCTTGAGGGCCAGCGTTGGATACCGACACCGTCAGAATCACCTATTCCTCGCCTGAAAGCTGGAATTCTACTGCTATCATTCCGGCCGCCAAATCGCTCCCACGTAAAGACTCTTACCAACGGCACCACCGATTCTCACGTCTCTCGTCCGACTTCGCCTGGTACTGGTCGCCTAATGGTATTGACTGCTGAGCACCAATTATCTGAATTTGAAGTGATGAAAGGGAAACTGTCTGATTGGTCCCGGAGAAACCCCAAAGCGTACCTACCCAATGAATTCACTATACTTAAGGATCGAGCGATGGGCGCTATTTGGGATGTAAACCAGAGCCGGGAACGCCTTTGGTTATACGGCCCTACATGGATGTGGATGTTCGATCTATCGCAAGATTTCCCTTCACCAGATGATGTGGTTGAAAGCAAGGATGTCCCTGACACAGCAAAGCAGGGGACGAACAAACGCAAAAGATATGACGAGGAGGGGAAGATGCCGAAGACCAACACTGGGGCTGGTGATAGAATAGCAGTTTCGAAATCTGATGTAGGTTTAGGAAGGAAAATGCGCAAAATTGTGGGCAGCGACGAAGCAAATGCGCAATGGATAGACCTCAAGCGGGAAAGGAGCCGAGATGATGTGGTTGAAGAAGACGAATATGAACAATACAATGAGTCATCAGCAGCAAATGACTCCGTACTAGCACGCCTTCGACGAGACCGAAGTCTCTCCGAACCAGAGACAAAGGAGGAGGGGAAGGATGAAGACGACGGCAGGGATAAGGAGACAAGCCATCACGGTCAATATCAACCCAATGGTATGAGTACCTCCTTTCCCTCTTCATCCATCACCTCCAGCAGGAAATTGCAAGTAGCCTTTGCCGTCGTGATCGACAACAGACCACATGCCAATGGGCACAACAAGACGCTGGCGAAGGGGAAGCAAGAACAAAGCCAGAAACCACAAGCGGCTATACCCGAAAAGCCTGAGCGAGAAGAGCAGGCGACCGTTGCTACCCAGAACCCGGCTAACCAAGATGCTGTACCAGAGCTTCCATTGCAAGCGAAAGAGACACCGAAAAGCACACCACAGCAACGTCGTTGGTGGCATACACATAAGTATCGAGATGTTCTAGGAATAGTACCACTCGACCAACTGGGTAGTGTATCGGATACAGACCAGGAGTTGAGAGGGGGCGGTTTCAACCTAGAAGTTGCGGTGGTGGAGCGGCCAATGTGGGAAATAGAGTTGCCTGGGCGGTATGTGCGGGACTACGAGTAGGGGGAGATACTCGATGAGTGGGAGGAACGGAGAAGAAAAGTTGTATGGGGATTCATTTATATGTATGTACGGTAGTACATGTGTTAGCATGGGCCAGGTGTTGATATGTGATTTTCATTTTTGGTTCAGGTAACTGTCTAGACGCGACGCTCAATGTACGCTATCTTATATATCCAAGCGGTGGAGCGTCTTCTTTTGTTGCGTTTCTGCATAACTCAAAAAAATTTAAATAAATAAATGCTAAATCTACGTCTAATGACTACTCTTGAAGGTCTCCGTTTCCTCCACAGAAAATCAGCCCATGGAGTAACTTCCCAACCGGTTTATGCTATTATTCTATGAATCCGTCCCCCTGCAGCTCCCGGACTTGATCTGCCCTCCAACATTTGGCATCCTGTTGTGTATTCACCAGCCAGGACTGCCAGAAAAGCAGAAACGTTTCAAGAGAATATCAGAGAAGGAAGTATCAAGAGAAAATAGGGATTTTATTCTTAAGATTATGAAGTTGGATCCGCGGGATAGACCAAGCAAGTGCTCAGGAGTTTTTAGGTGATGTGATGTGTGGTTTGGTACAGAATAAATTGGAACCCCGCTGTCTCAAATACCTATTCTGAGTGGATGGAAACAAGGTAGCGACATTATATTTTGCAGCGACTAAGAGAATGAACCCAAAATGAGTCCTTGTTGCTCGTGAATAAGAATCCTTAACCATTATTATATAACTTATCATAACTAACTATATCATATGTTAAGTCCGCCACAATAGCCTCAGCCTCAGCCTCAACCTCAACCTCAACTTCGACTCCAGGCATTGAAACTGGTTGTTCAGGTATTAGATCAATAAAGGGTCAATGCAAACGAAAGTGGACCACATCAATTATGAAGACATAGTTATGCATTTATACAGAGTCCTCAGAACCTTTTCAGCCGTGTATTATTAACTCAACCCGGTATCAGCCCTGAGCTTGCAGACGTCCGGCTTTGTTTTTCATCGCAGCCAGGCACCAGGGTTTGAGAGGCGTGTTTCCAACCCCAGAATCCTTCTGCCTCTCTCGCCTTGGCTATCGATACGCAGAAGGGAAACTAATAAAAACCGCACCCGTTCCCTTGACTTCAGAGGAAGAAAATAACCGAATGAATGGATAAATATCCCATTACTTAGGGTTGCTGATGTTCACGCGCTTCATTTTCTCATGCCCCTCTGTCCTTTGCGCTCTCGCATAATATCCCGGCCTGGAAACTCGTCATTTTCCATCTTGTTATATTGTAGCAGGATCGCGAAGGAGTTTGTACAGTACATTAGGAATATCTTAAATTATGCCGGAAGGTCCGTACTGCCTTCTATGTGGAGGTTTTATTCATTACCGATCCCCGACAGCACAATGGCAGACTGAGTTTCGTGCCGGTAAGTACATATCTGTATCCCTGCAAGAAATTTCTATCAGTATCACCAATCAATACGCAGGATCTCTGGACAGTAAATGTGCCCCTAGAGTAACCATCAATGCTAATACTCAAACTTAGTTCGCATTCCCGGCGGCGGCGAAGAAAGGACGCCATTTTTGACTGGCGTGGGTGGAGAGATCGCCTACACCATTCCGTTCTCAGCTCCTTCAGATCGAGATCAACGCTATAATGATAGAGAATACATGTTCTCTCCCCTGGATGCGTTCACACCTTTCCATTCCCCAACTTACCGTCCCGATATTGGATACGTATTTCATGACCAATGTTGGAACCTACTTAATGCTCTTAACTACCCGGACCCTGTCCCGGTTCACCGCCTCTACGACATCTTTCGGTCACTCCCCTTACGGTCTCTACATTGGGTGCAATGGGGTCATACCTATGGCGGCCTAGTGAAGACATATCCGATCTATTACCCGTGGGAGGAGGCTCGCCTCGCTGGCATGATCACGGGCTCTGTGACTAGACCGAAGCTGTCTCCGTACTACTACTGCAAACAGGATCCTTGGGATATCCCAGAGTTACGACAGATCTTGGCTGAAACTAAAGAGAGCCCTGCCCAGGAATTCAACAATGATGATCTGAGGATATCTTGTAGACCGCAACGGCATGCGGATTGTTTCTCGGAGTTGCCAGTGGAACTACGTGAGCAGATTCTGACGCAGCTGCTCGTCAAAGATGTTGCTAGCCTCAGGCTAGCTTCAAGGTCCTTCGCCTGCCTACCACTCTCGCAGTACTTTTGGTTTTCCCGGTTTCTGCCGGGCATGGACAGAGATTTTATCTTCGAGGCTACAAGACCGGACAGTGAATCTGCCGTGAACGCTAGATGCCGTGACTGGCGAACGTTATATGAGAAAACAGGCCAGATCTTGCTCGAAGGGGGAGCTTTGGCGAATCGGGTAAGAATTTGGAACTGCAATAGATCACTTGCAAGATTGTTAAAAATTCAGCCGTTAGATAAAATGCGTTTGGAGAAAGCAGACCAATACAATAATATCGTGTGGAAAGTTGCCGGGGCACGCTATAACCATATGTCATATGATTTGCTTTACGTACAGGCTGCTCGTTTACCACGCGAAATATCTCAGATCGCAGTGTCATTCATAACACTCAATGGTAAGCAGCATGTCTCAGGAATTCGACTATGTTCCCGCAAGGAGCCAGGTGTGGATATGGGCTACATCATCCCGGCGAGCGAAATTGTCCTGGACCTAGAAAACGAAGAGGGTGCTTCAGCAACGCTATCAGGATTTATAACTTCTATTAGTCCCGATGGGATACGTGCGCTGCAAGCTACCACTCTTGAAGGAAGGTTATCGAACTGGGCTGGGTGTCCGGACGCTACGCCGGTGACGCTGCGACTTTGTACCAACGACCGTATATCCCATCTGAAGTGTGCATTTGATGTAATCGCCGCCCCCCCCCCTCCCCCTCCTGAACCCCTTTCTTTGGTACTATTATTTCTCTTCCGTTGTAGTAACTTATGATCGTTCTAGGGGTTTAAACTCGTCGAGCTCTTCGTGCCAGACACAGAAGTCGGCTCGCATGAACGGCCACCACAAGTCCCCCTGCGGACAAATGCGATCTGGTACCCTAACGTCCCACCCGAAGATGTTTACCTGCATGAATCTACTTTTCCAGGCAAAGAAGTGCCGCAGTCCGAGTACCATCCACTCATCCACGTAATGTTCGGTGGTCCTGAGGGCTCATATCTAAAATACCTGACACGGATATCCGTTACGGTTTCAAGACAGGAGATTGTGGGGATAGATTTTGAGTATGGGGCAGAGGGTGCGCCGGTCGAGCGGCTACGGGCAGGTCGTAACCCCAAGGGTGCAGATGACTCGTTGAAGATATCTTTCACTATCGATGGGCCGGGTGGAGAACTTCTTACTGGTATACAAGCAAACGGGGACTTTGGGAAGAATATCACTTCAATAAAGGTAAGCCTCACATTACTTATGCTTCGCAAAATTTTTCTTTCTCTCGTCCATTGTTCTCCATTTTCTCGAACATCAAAGCTTACAAAGTTCAACAGGTCATAACAAATCACAACAGACAATTCACCTTCCAGCCAAATGCAATTCCCCAATTGAAGTTCCCACCAGGGCCACAGGTCCGCAAAAGGATGGGAAAAATTGAAATAACCCCAGGAACGACTATAATAGGGATATACGTTATGCACGTAAGTTTTTTTTCTTTTTCTTCTTCTTTTTTTCTCCTCCATTCCTCCTTTTGCAGGTGGTGGTCTACCATACCACTTTTCAACTATAGATGTGAACTTGTAATCTGCAACTGCACTGCGCTGTCGTGGGTAAATCAATTACTTCTACCATTGAACCAGCTAGCTAACGACCGACCCCTCTTTTTTCTTTCAATCCAACAGCATCATGTATTCAGCATGATAGCACTCGGGCCTATATCGAAAAGATTACCAGGGTATTGCGACAACGATCGTCTGGCGAAAGACGAATGCGAAATCAAATCATCATCATCACGAAGATCCAGCAGCTGGGCAGGCTAACAAGAGCTCTCTACTACTGTATAATTGGCGCAGCCCAAACAGGCGTCTGGAAATTCTACAGATTTTTCACGGCAATTCGAGGCATTTTTCCAGATATCCTTTTTCGTTTTGCTGGCTATCTATTTCCAAGTCACACTAGGTGCTTTTTTCCTTATGTGAGGAGCTGCATCATTCGCTGGCTTGTAGAACTCTTTGAAGATACATCATCGCGTCACGCTATATGTAGAAAGAGGACGGCAAATATTCTACGAGCGAGCCAAAGAAAAAGAAAAGAAAAGGACAGAACCGGCTCCCTGAAACAAAAGTCTCAAAAGCCTTAAGAATAGAGACACGATTCGTCCCGAAAACAAAAACACTCCCAGCACAAGAAAAATGCAAATGCAACTGCAACGCAACCCCTCCCCGACACCCCAGCCAGCCAACTCGACACTAAGCTAGACACACTCCAACGCCTCATGGACAGGTGGCTTCTCAATCAAAATCCGCATTCCGGGCCGAACCCCCCCGCCCCGCTCGACAACCCCCAAAACCCCAGCCTTGCGCCCGACAATATTCCCCTCCGCATCCCGCACGACAAATTTCTCCTTCAGCCCTTTCCGGAACCGGTCGATTTGCGCACACGGGTTCCGCAGCCCCGTCACCGTCACCGTCACCGTCACCGTCGCCGCGGCCGCCGCATTCGTTACCATCGACATGGACGTTGACATCGCCGACGAACCGCAACTTCGTCCCCCTCCCTAGCGCCAACAGATCAATACCCTTAGTCGTAATATTCTCCCCCATATCGCCCGGTAGGAGCGGACCATTAGCACCAGCACCAGCGTCCTCCTCCCCGCACCGCCTACCGGCGCCAGGATCTCTGCGTGGAGCAGGTGCACCTGGCGGAGATTTGGCGGCGGGGGTCTAATGTGTAGGCGCGAGCGGTGCTGGACGGTGGCGCGGCGTGGGCGTCACCTTGCATGCCCAGGTTGGGGAGGAGGGTTATGCTTGGGACGCTGGGTTTGGAGAAGGAGTGGGAGGCGGAGGCGTGGACGCTTAGGACGGACATGGTTTGGTGGTTTGGTGGTTCGATTTGATTTGATATAGATATAGAGATGGATCGATAGGGAAAGTAACTATGATGAGTTCTTTTTGTGTCGACGACGCCAAGTGAGTGTAGATTCTATAGATGGACAAACTGGACTGGATACTGACTGCAATGCGTGTAGTGTAGGCTTGTAAGGGACATGGTTGCCTAACAAGTCGTATCCAGCGGTACATTTCCGGGGTGAGTTGGCATATGCTGGATGACAATTATTTTCGATTAGTGGTAGGGTAGGGGTGAGTGACAGCCAGGAGGGAGACTTTTACATCTCTCTCAACTGAAGTTTAGTTATATTCTGTGTACAATAATTTATTTTATTGCATTGTGGAAAGTATTAAATATCAGTAATAGCATGAATCAAACAAAGATTCTTAAATTCTAATGGAGTCTTCCTGGACCGTCCGAGATTCATAACCGCTGAATGAGAGAGATAATAATGATGCTCTCTACTTGAGAGAGAATATAGCGCAAATAACTTTGAACTGATGAGTGTGAATATAAAATAAGCAGATACACATCAAGTTGTATACAGTTGCATTTAGTAAATACTTGTTGCTGAATAATAATAGAATATGTACAAGCTTTAGATGTTTTCACCTGATATCAATAGTTAAATGTTTTGATGTGGTATGATATATGGTATAGTTAACATTTCATTAATACGGCATAAAAGAGAAAAAATAATATAAAAAATAATATAAAAAATAATATAAAAAAATATTGATCGGTGTCAAAATATAAAGAGAAATGAAAAGGAAAGAGGAGTGTGGAGGAAGAAGGAATAGCAAAAGAAGAAAGTTGAAATGAATTGAAAGAGAAACAAAAAAGTAAAGGGCTAATGCTAGCTTCAAAAGTAGGAAGAAAGAAAGAAAAGGAGAGAAGATGAGAAAATCAAGGGTAAAAGAGTAAAAAGAGAGCAAAACAAAAGAAAATCCAAGCAAAGAAAGACGTCAGGAAGAAAGGAACGCCTTCAAACCCATGATTGAGACATTGATGAAAACTATAAAACTGGGACCAAAACCCGAACCCCAACCTAGACCCCCAGAAATCGGATGGACAGTGGATAAGACACAAAGGAAATGAAATATGATGTGTAGTGTAGTGTAGCGAAGTGTGATAGTAGGAGAGGGCATCCAGCGAACCGAGAACAAATGGCGGTTTGAGATAGAGCAAGGAGAAGGCAGGCCAGGGAGATGGGGAGAAGTTAGATGAATGTTTAGTGTATCCGACGACGAGAAACTTTATGGCCAGACACGAATGGACTCACTCCAGTCGCCTATTGTTAGAAAATTCATAAAGGAAAAAAAAGGCATGTATATGGCGTCGGGATGGATACGGTGGGATGTGACTATCTTTCATTTTTTTTTATTTTTTATTTTTATTTTTTTGGATGTGTGAGGGTTCGGGGTCGACATTGGAAGAGATATAGAGGTGGTTTTGGATTCCATAAGGAAAGCAACCATAAACGAGGATTCATTCGTTAGAAAAAAAGGACGCCTTTGTCGTGGCGTTGTAATAACTTTTCATCGTTCCGATCGTGGGTAGGAAAATTGAGCAAAATAAAGCGTAGCATAGGCATCATCACCCCACGACTCCAAAAGGTTATCGCCCCTGGCTTGATCGATCTGGGTTTGGTTGCCCCGTCTGCCCCTGAGTGGGATTCACCCACTCCACATTGCCATTCGGTGTTGTAACAGGCACCTTCGATTCATCAGCGGATGCATCGTTGCCGTTGGTGCCGTTTCCACTATTACTGATTCGTCCATTAGGAAAGAGGTTATTAATCTCCGTTGCGATAGCCTGGGCCATATAACCGCGCAGCTCTCTTTCTTCCCGTTCGTCCTCTTTTATCAGTCGTCGACGCTCCTCTTTGGAAAGGTTCTCGCGGCGCATCCGGCGGATTTCAAGAATGACCCAGAGCAGGACCTCCTCTGGGGCGCGGGTGCGGGACATGCCATGTTTTGCTGGGTTGCGAACATACCGTCGTGTGACGTCTGTTGCGCCGTCGATGGAGAATGCGACGCAGTATGCCATTTTGCGGTTCCACCCTAATGAATCTAAATTAGAATCCCCTCTGCTGGGAAAACTAGACCAATGGGTATACACAAATATTCATAAATAAAACGTACCTTCAGCGTAAAGCCGGGGATTATCCCAGGCCTCCTCACAAGCATCAACATGGACCCATCGCTTCTGATGTTCAGAGTACACTTCGGTCCAGACATAATCCTCAGAATTCCACACCCATCTAACGCGGCCACCTACAGCGCGACACAACATTGAAAAGCAATTTGCCCATTCACCCACCCGTCCTCGTCGTGTCTGGAGCAGGGCCCAGACGTCCGAATAGCGGGGAAACCGCTCGTTTGCGCCGCATGTTGCATCCGAACATCGGTACAATTCGACTCGGGTTGCGCCACGGGCAGTTTCGTCTGGGGTAGGCGGGGTCATTCCATGGGCGATGGTCGGGCTGTAACAGGCGGAGCAGGGAGGGTTATTGACGAATTGGAAGAAAGACCGTTTGAACCATCTAGATATTTATAAGTTAGCCAAGGTACATGAAAGCAGATAAAAGCAGATACTGAAAAAAAAATAAAATAATAATAATAAAAATAAAACAAGAACCATACCTCAGCAGAGATTTGATGACACAATCTTGATAACCCCACTGTGGTTTCACGTTTTCACCCATACTGGCAGCCTCAGCCTGGAGAATCTGGCACTCCTCGTCTGCTTCTGAATATATCCTGTCTAGCGGGATTACGGCCAGGGCTTCGTCCAGCAGGCCGGGGTTTTCGTATTTGGTAGGGGTGACGGACAAGACATGGAGAAGGTTGCTAAATTTGAAGGAGACCGGGTCTTGGGGAGGGGCGGGGACGAGCGGGAGGCTTCGAAGGGAATATGATGGTGGATGTGGATGTTGTTGTGGATGTTGTGAAGAAGATCGATGACTGGATGACTGAAGACGAGAGGCAGGGGGAGAATGGGGAGTGGCAGGAGTAGGCGAAGGAGAAGGAGAAGCGGTTCTAGAGCGGGATCGCTCCTGCAGCGAGTTCAGGCGGCGCGTCCGTAGCAAGTCCTCGAATTGCTGTGTGAGTTGAGAGGCATCGTAGGCGGAGGTTGTGGAGGGAGGAGAGGAGCGAAGAGAAGAGCGAGACGAGCGGGAAGGAAGACGGGCTCCAGAGCGATGAGGGGGACGATCCGCCATGGCGAGACAGCAGGCTGGCAGTCAGTCGCAGTGACTGTCAGCACCACCAGTAGAGGGAGGCGGGCGAGGTGTCTCCCGAATTACACGATGCCAGGGAATAGATATATGGATGCAAAAGGGTCGGTCAGTTTGAAGATGGGTCGTCGGTGGATATAGGTGGTTCTCGTGGAAGAGGGAGAGACGAAGGAAGTGGTCAATGCGATTGAAGGTGGATAACGAGGTCGGTCAGACGATGGATGGATGGCGTGTGAGAGTGAGAATGAGAGGGAGTTGGGTGTTCCAAGATGCAATCGCTGGGGATGGTGGTGGGAGTGGGATGGAATAATAATGGATGGATTGGTTGGATTTGGCTGCTAAGGAGACAGACAGCAGCAACCAGGATAGCACAGCCGAGTTGTCGTCTTGGCGGAGGCAGGTCGCTGGACGAGAAAAGCGGCACAACACGGGACAGAGAAGAGGTATCGAATATATAGGTGTAAACAGGTATGGGGTAGAGAGAAATAAGAAGAGAAGATGGAAGATGAGGATGGAGATAGAGGAGAGATGTGAAGGAGAAGAGAATCGGAGAGAAGAAAAAGAAGAGGAGGGAGACAACGACGACGACGACGACGACGACGACGAGGATGAGGATGAGGAGGAGGAGGAGGAGGAGAAAGCGAAAGAAGAAGAAGAAAGGGAGGAGGAGGAGGTGAGGATGATGCAGACAGACAGACAAGACAGAAACACTGTATTGCGATTACAGTTGTTATTACAGACCCTTAACGCGTATGCCTGGCGTCGACCGGTGGTGGGTGTGGTGTGGCACGCCTCATACAATCCAATTACAGTACATATAGTATAATAATACACCACATGACCTATGCCAGCAGCAACTACGGACCGTAAAGACGAACAACCTAGCTTAAGGTTCAAAAGCATCCCAAATAATAATAGTATGTCAAGCTCCTGTCCTGTCCGAGATACAGCAACAGCACACCAACTGGTACCTACGCACAACATTCAACACCTGGTAAGGTAAGGAGAGGCGTATTGAGCAGCGTATTGCCCCGTACGGGCGTCGTAATTGGCGCGGGCAGTGACGAATCTGCCACTCTACGCTAGTTACTTCGGGCCTAGCCCTTCCCTCCTGCTGGTCGGCTTGGCACGAATTGGCAGCAAAAGGCTTGGCAGGCGTCGTCAGCTTTCGCTGTGATTTTTCAATTTTTTCAATTTTTGTTTTTTAATTTTTTTAAAGACTGGTTGTAGATTAGGTGGATAAGCGAGCGTCGCCTGCTCTGATTGGCCAGGTTGACCCTGACTGCGCGGCTAGCATCCAACTAACTACTCCGTACTCTGTTCGCAGAGTAGAGATCCTGATACTGCCACTTTCTGCCTACTTACGCTGCGTATGTACGCTGTAAATATATCTATGAAGAGTTTGGAGGATATCTCCCTATTTCGTATAAAGGCTCACTTCTCGCGCTGTTTCTACGTTGGGCACATATCCTCATCCCTCTGGTGGTTGGTGGACTTGGTAGGGTAGCGGACCTATACCAATACCTACCTACCTACCCTACCCACGCATACACGTACGTCACGTACCAACCTTGGTCTAGATATATCGCGCCCGCGCATACGACAACTTTCTTGCCACCTACCGCATTTCATTTCTCCGGTATCCTATCGTCTGTCTAATATCCGTCTAAGTAAATCCCTAAGTACGTATTCCTGAGCGACGTGCTCTCCCTTCATCTCTCTTCAGGAACCTCAAAAAATGAAGAGAGCCAAACAAGAATTAAAGAATTAAAAAAAAATATAAAATATAAAATATTAAAAAAAAAAAAAAAAAAAAAAAAAAAAAAAAAAAAAAGAGTCTCGATCCACCCCGAAACCTGGGTCACAAAGAAGGCCTTATCCCAGAACTCCTCTCAGAGCAGTTCTTGCTAGGTTCCTTTGAAAGGAAGCAGCACAGGCCAGGCCAGGGGTAGAAAAAGGACGGCAACATAGTCTTCCTAGGAGAATGGAGGAATTGAATGAAGCCGTCCTCAGCCCGGCTACTACGGCAATAGCCAGCAGCAGTCGATTGGCTCGGGTTGGATGAGACAGTGACATTGATATTCTTACGTTTTGTACTGCCTGTCTGTCCTACCCACGGGACATGTACAGCATATATGTATGTCTGTCCGTCCACGGATGTGGAATCAGAGACACACAGATTGTATCTACTTAGGTATGCTTCCCTGATGGCTATGTATGTATATGTTTAAATCTGTACATGTGTACGGAGCATTTACAGTATATGTGAATATATCATGCATTGTTACTAGTTGGGCAGGTGATTTGTTCTTGATCCTCTGTGATGTATTTCCATCCAAAAAGGTCGAAACTATATTAGTTACTCCGTACATGTATGGATATTACCTGGCTAGAACACACCAGCCACATATTCTCAGCCACAACTCAATTGAACCAGCCTCACGCTAACCATCTCTCAAACCAAAAACCAATCAACAGCCGCCATGGATATTCTTTAAACGAAGATTCCTTCCCTCATTATTACTATTTTTCATCGGGTTTCAGTCCGGTCCAGCCCCTCAGCCCCCGTCGATCCCTTCTCACTCTATTCACGCTTTTTTTCTCTTTTTCTCATCTTCTTATCTTCTCAACATAACCACGCTAAAACCCGCCTAGACTCATCATTTCACACGCCGGTATACTCTTCACAGATTGACCTACAGCAAACTCTTGCTAAGAAAGGAAAAAGAAGGAATTATACTGTAATAAATTTTAGCTATTAATAATGAACAATTTTACTTAATCAAACAAAGGCTAACTAACTATATTAATTATCAATAATATTATGAAGTACTTCTTATAAGTTATACATAAACACATATTCTGTGGCGGGCTGCGTCTGATCATTATATAGCCTATTTTATTACACTTCATAGATTTCACTGAAAGCTCTGATTCTCAGTCATTCTCAATCACTGATTCTCAGCTGAAAAACTCATGAAATTTCTATTCTTTCACTCTGAAGCTTCACTGTGTACACACTGTGTATATGTATAAATATTCACTCTGATTACTGATTCTCATACTTTCTCTTTCTTTTTCTTCTTTAATGTTTTTCACTTTATTATATAAGATCTATAAATATTATACTGATCTATTCAGTGTAAATCTCTTACACTTGAAAAATATTCATCATTTTCTTATTAAAAATAATTATTCATTGAGAAGATATCTGAATGTGTAATAATATATAAGAAATAGAGAAATAATTGAACAGTTAAGCAGACACTGAGTTCTCAGATAAAAGCTTACTTACTAATTACTCTGACTCTGTAACAAGATTTTATAAAGAGAATAAGATTTTATAAAGAGAATATCAGTGAAAGATCTGAGAGTTCTGACACAGATATATAAGATATTCATACAATTACACTTCTTTCAATTTCACAGTTATTATATATTTAATAAATGATACAACTGTATCTACTGATAATATGAGAGAACTCTCAAATGTAAGTATAAATACAGTATCACAGTGACTCTAAGTAATGTTGAAATTATAACAGTAATAGATAGCTGATATACATGTAACTTAATAATATTAATATAAAGAGATTTAATAATTATCTCAATAAGAAACCTCTGTACAGACAATTTCAACACTGATAGAACTAAATATAAACATAATATAAACACTGAAGAAATACTTAGATACTCTTATATATTTCAATACTTCTAATCTCACTCTCTACTCATTATAAAGATTGAAAATGCTTATGAAACTAAGTATAGATAAAGATATCATCAGTTTACTAATCAATCAAGATTAATATATTAATAAATAATTGAAGAATCATGTAAAACAGAAGTTTCATTCATAAATAAAAGCATGTAAATCAGTGTTATATATATCTGATAATATTATCAAATATCTTAATATTCTGTTCTGAGACACTGCTATATAATAGAAGATATTAGATTAATTACAGAGTGTCTAACAGAGAAATACTTCTCTTATAACATTTATCTCTGATTTTGATATCAAGATTCTAGAAGTAGATAATCAATCTTAAGAGAATAAAATAAAGATTAATATATTTAAGAAGATACTAACTTTTGAACTTCTACAGACTTTTATAAGTGTAGACAAAGATCAGACTTATAAAGACTTCTGTATATAACTCTGAATATTGAATGACTGTCTTATCAAGCTCAAAAGTATACAGAACAGTGATAGAAGATATTATATTTCAGTTACTTATAGATCTATACTAAAGAATAATAAAAATGATACAGATGCTATAAACTGAGTAGACTTGAATATCTATATATAAGTAAGAGTCTCTGCTATCTGAATAGACTTCTGAGTTTCTGAAATCACTTCTGAAGATGTCACTGACTGATGTCAATGTGAGATATATATCAATTGTAATTAATTAGAATATATTATCTTCAACTATTAATCAGTCTATATATCTTCTCACTTAAGAGAAAGATCAGTATCTTCTCACTTAAAGAATGAATTAACATCTATTCATGTCAATTACATTGCATTTGTAAGAGGCCTACACTGAATAGATCAGTATTATATATAGATCTTATATAACAAAGTGAAAAACATTAAAGAAGAAAAAGAAAGAGAAAGTATGAGAATTAATAATCAGAGTAAATATTTATACACATACACAGTATATACACAGTGAAGCTTCAAGACAGAAGAATAGAAATTCTGTGAGTTTTTCAGCTGAGAATCAGTGATTGAGAATATGTCACGCTCCCGGCCGCGCCAAGGCCCTGTTGCGGTTCCACACGGCTCATCGCTTCCATGCGGATGATTTCATTCATCCCGCATCTCATCTGAACCGGTTTCCAACCACTCTATGACATTATTCGGATATATCATAGGAAGATCCGATTGATGGGTATGAGAACCCTGCTTCTATATGAGGTCAGCAGATTACTCTTTCTTGGCAATGAGACACTGCTGAGATATCACTCTAGCTATTCTTACTTATGAAATGAGAGAAGAGTATTCACTCATTATCTATATAGAATAGCTAGATACTGACTTCTTATCAAAGAAGTCAGTGATTTGTTTTTCTTCTACTGAAATATATATGAGAGTTACTGTGTGTCTTATACAATCTTCTTAGTATACTAAGTATTATATCTGTGATATCCTCACAATAATCTTGTAGTCTATGAGCTCACTATTTAAGCAAGATAGTCAAGCTCACTTATATAGCTTCTTAAACAACTACTTCTACATGATACTGCTGACTAGTCACTGCTTCAGTTCTGTTATATTACAATTCAAATCACTCAATCTGATTACATGTTTAAATCAGTCAAGCTCTAACAGACTGATATGATCTCATACACCTGCACTGAGACTGATCTGATCTCACTCTCTGAGAAAAACACTACATCATTTCCTAGAGTGTGTACATCTCTACTCTGGCAGAAATCTGAGATTTCTGAACTCACTGCATATTTTAATATAAGCTCTTTAACTGCTCTGCTACTGCTGCAGCCTCTACACACCTACATCTATTATGAAGATAGAGAGATTAAGATCAGAGATTTATTGAGATATAAGAGAAACATCTTGTCTGAATTTCACAGCTTTATCTGTATTCTTGAATGAAAATTCCACCTTAACCTGAGCCAGTATAATACTCATGAGATATAAGTAATATATGCTATCAACCTTCTTGAAGGCATCTCTGCAACTACTTGAATTATCAAGAAGAGAGAGCTTGAGTGTATTAATACTGTCATGACTTGAGAAGAATTTAAGAACTTTCTACTAAATCAAATTGAAGATCACTGTAACTGCAGCTTCACAGTGATACAGTGATTCAACTTATTACATTAATAAGATGATGAAAATCCTTCTGATTTCAATACAAGATTTGAAGAATATTGAGAGAAACTGACTGATGATTTGAATCAATTAAAAACACAGCTTTATCTCATGAAGCTGACTCACAAGGTATGAACAATGATATCATAATATCAGAGTTCATTAATCAATCACACTGAGCTTGTTAACCTGGCTTCTCAAATCTATTTGAATAATCAATTCTCTGAGAAAAAGGCTAATAAGACCTCTTCTAAGTAATCAATAACAGAATCTAAATAATATCATGATGACTTCAGTGTGAAGAAAGTAAAGAAGAATTCTAAGTATTCTGATTCTTCACTCACTGTGAAGAAATATTAAAAAAGATTTGACAAAGATCTCTGTTTCAACTGTGAAGCTGATGATCATTATATCAGTGATTGTAAGAAACTGAAGAAGAGAAGAAACTGAGAAGACATCTTCTTGAAGTTAACTTCTCTTCTGACAAATATATTCACAGAAGATAAAGAAGAGAAAGAAAAGAATTGATAATTCTCATATCTCTGAGTTTATGTTATGATTACAATGCATACTCTGAATGAGAAGATATCAGTGAGATACCTACTCAACTCTGAGATGAATATTAACTTCATATTCTATTCCCTTTCTTTGATGAAGAGTTGAAAGAAGATAGACTTATCAGATCATATAAAATTTACAGATGAAATGAAATATCACTGTTTTAATATAATTTAAGCAAAGTGTGTGATCACAGACTCAGAAGAAATCTTCAAGAAAAGCAGTCTGCTTCTTCATGCAGTCAACATCATAGATGAGAATGTTATTCTAGGTCTTCTGTGATTGAGAGAAAACAATTCTCTCATTGACTGAGTCACTCAGATATGACAGTACTGTCTCACTGATGAAGAGATGATGATAGAGAAATCTGAAGAGTTTCATCAGAAGAATCTTGAGAAAAAGATTGAGTTAATATACTGTGTAGCAGGTGATTGAGACTTGAGAACAGATGAAGAAGTCATCATTCTTACTGCAAGATTAGCAGCAGTATCTGTCATTGAAGACAGATGTACATGATGTCTCTTTACAGATTTTAAGAATGTCTTTTTAGAAAGAAAAGCAGTGAAGTTTCCTAATATCAAGATATGATATAAGATTTGTCTTGAAGACAGTGCAACAGCACTGTACAGGCCTCTTTACAACTTGTCTGTAAAGGAGTTGAATGTTCTGTGCAAATATCTTGAAGAAGTACAATCAAAGAACTGAATATATTTATCAAAGAGTTCAGCAGAGACATCTATACTCTTTGTGTTCAAGAAGAATGATAGACTATGTCTATGTATAGACTACAGAGGTCTCAATAAGATGACAGTTAAGAATTACTATTCACTATCATTGATTAATGAGATGATCAATTGATTATCTGAAGCAAAGATATTCTCAAAGATTGATATATAAGATGTCTATCATAGAATCAGAGTTAATGAAGACAATGTTTGAAAAACAGCCTTTTATATCAAGTACAGCAATTTTGAATATCTTGTTTTGTCTTTTGATCTCTGTAACACTTCAGCCATCTTTCAGACCTATATAAATAAGGTACTGTGAGGCCTTGTTAATGTCTTCTGTATAGTATACTTAAACAACATTCTAATCTTCTCAAAAATGAAGAAAGAATATGATACTCATGTTTGAGAAGTGTTGAGTTGCTTTATTATTATTATTATTATTCTTCAATTATAGATGTATGCAGTCAGAGACTATGACATCTACCTGAGAACTTTAGTTCTCAGGGTTTTTTCTATGTCTGTAAAGTTAACTATTGTACATTCATCAATTTCAGATATGCAAAATCAGAAAATTCCAGCCCAGAATACAAAAACTGTTTACAAATTGCAGTGTTTTAACATCTTTTGATACTTTGTAATCATTTGACAATATCATGACAAAAGAAAAGAGAGAAAGAACACAGTCTCAAAGATAGACACATTAAATAGATAGATAGAAAGAAATTGAAAGGAAAAGATACAGAAAAAGAAAAAGTAAAGAGAGACTATAACAAAACAAATTCTTAAAAGAGAGTGTATAGCTGTTTTAACAGACTATATCTGATTGATTTCCTCCTCTTCATATTCAGATAATTCTGAATTTAGCCATTTTCTTGTAGCTGCTTGAGTTTCTGATAGAAAGTCTATTAAGTATTTAATTCCTGTCTCAGTTGAGAATAAGAATCTCATATTTAATT